GAAGGGTCTAGGCCCGAAACGTCAGGCTTCCTGCTCCTATGATGCTGCTTGGCCTGCTGTGTTCATCCAGCTCTGCACCTTGATATCTCAGATTCTCCAGCATCTGCAGTTCCTGCTATCTCTGGGTATTGAAGCTGCTGGTTGGATTATGTACTGAGCCATCTGACACGTGTGACATGTTTTACAGGACTGCACTAGGCCTGAATGAAATCCTGACCCATATAAAATACTTGTCTATTGATACCTGTGTTCATATGTTACTCCCAATGTCTCCTTACAATATCTGAGGATGTCTCTACGCCCTCATCAAAACTTCACCCTTAACACAGTCACTCCTGGACCTGTTCCAGCCTCAGCCTCAGTGTGAGCTCTCTGTGCTGACTTACTTCAGTCTGCATCTGCTTCCTGAGCCTCAATTAACCAAGACATGCCAAACACTTCCTTTCAGTTATCCTCATTCTTAAAGGGAGATTCAGCTCCCTGGTATCTGCTTGTGTTATTGCTGTGACTTTATTTTGCCATTACTCTGGTAACTGCTCACGATGGAAAATTACCCAGAATCTGTCCCTGTAACTGTTCCATCTCTTTAACCACACTGTCATCTCTGACAGCTCATCCCACACCAGGTCCTGGGACCCGCATCAATGATGATGCTCTGGTCCGGCACAGAGGGAGTGCTGCACTGTCAGAGGTACCACTGTTCGATTTGACCAGGGAGCTATGAAGTAAACCACAAGATACAGGAGCACAATTAGGCCATTTGGCCCATTAGGTCTACTGCAATATTCAAGAATGCCTAATATTTTTCTCAATCCCATTCTCCTGCCTTCTCTCCATAACCCTTGATCCCAAGGGTAATCAAGAACCTACCTATCTCTGTCTTAAACACACTCAATGCCTTGGCCTCCAGCCTTCTGTAGCAATGAGTCTCACAGATTCTGGCTGAAGAAATTCTCCTTATCTCAGTTCTAAAGGGTTGTTCCTTTCTCTCTGAAGCTGTGCCCTTGGGTCCTAGTCTCTCCCACTGATGGAAATATCTTCTCCACGTCCACTCTATCCAGGCTGTTCATTATTCTGCAAATTTCAATCAGATTCCTCTTCAATTTTCTAAACTCCATCAGGTTCAGACCCAGAGTTTCCTTATCCCCTTCATCCCGGGATCATTGTGGTAAAGATCCTCTGGAACCCCTCCAAGGCCAGCACATCCTTAGATACACGGCCCGAAACTGCTCACAATGTCTTGATCCGAAGAAGAGCATCATAGGAGTTCTCCCTGATGGATACAGGAGATGTAGCTATGATCAGCTGTCTGTTTATGGGATCTTGCTATGCATAAACTGGCTGCTGTGTAAGGTGCTTTCAGGGTGTGGGGGGGGGATCATGTGGCTTTGAAGGGTGCCTGAGGAAGTCAGATTTTACAATGGTCTTTCCTTTTGCCTCTTCTTCCAGCCCACAATGAGTAGCCATGGTGCCGTACTGTCTGAAGAGAGCCTGTCATGCCCAGTGTGCCTGGAGATATTTAAAAACCCCGTAACCATTCCATGCGGCCACAACTTCTGCATGGATTGTATCAGCAGCTGCTGGGACGAGGACACTGACTCAGACACCTGTAAATGTCCAGAATGTCGGCAGGATTTTAGCCCCCGGCCCCCACTCGCCAAGAACTTTGTCCTGTGTAAGATTGTGGAGAGGTTGCTGAAACAGCCTGAGGACAGCTCCCCCGAGAGTGTGGCAGCTCCTGGTGATATTCCCTGTGATTTCTGCACCGACAGCAAACTCCGAGCCATCAAATCGTGTACGGTCTGCATGGCATCGTTCTGCCAGCTCCACCTCCGCTCCCACTATGAGGACACTGTCTTCCGGCATCACCAGCTCGATGACCAGCTCAGAGACTTTGGCAAGAGGCGGTGCCCAGAGCACGGCCGCCCATTGGAGTTTTACTGCCGCACAAACCAGTCGTGTCTGTGCAGCGTGTGTGCCATCAAAGGGCATCGAGACCACGAAACTGTCACCGTGGACGAGGAGGTCACTGACATCAAGGTAAACCCACTGCCAGCTGCACCCCACAGGCCCTGGCATCAAACCCATCGGCACAGAGGGTACACACTGAGGGAGGGCGAGGGGAGGGCGAGAGGAGGGTGAGGGAGGGTGAGGGAGGGTGAGAGAAGAGTGAGGGGAGGGTGAGAGAGAGTGAGGGGAGAGTGAGGGAGGGTGAGGGACAGTGTGGACAGTGAGGGAGGGTGAGGGACAGTGAGGGAGGGGGAGGGGAGGGTGAGGGAGGGGGAGGGGAGAGTGAGGGAGGGTGAGGCAAAGTGAGTGAGGGTGAGGGGAGGGTGAGGAACAGTGAGGGAGGGTGAGGGACAGTGAGGGAGGGTGAGAGAGGGTGTGGGAGAGCAATGGACAGTGAGGGGGGATGAAGGAGAGTGAGGGACAGTGAGGGAGGATGACGGAGGGTGAGGGAGAGTGAGTGAAGGTGAGGGACAGTGAGGGAAGGTGAGGGAGAGTGATTGAGGGTGAGGGAAAGTGAGGGAGAGTGAGGGGAGAGTGAGGGATGTTAGAGAAGGTGCACAGAACATTAGGGTGAATAAGATGAGTTCCAAGGGAGTGATGAGTTGCTGTCCTGCTACACGTCCAAAAATACATTTTTTTCTGCACAGAACCACATTGAGGAGCGGCAAGTGGAAATAGAGAGAGACAGACAGATCACCCTGGGAGAGATGGGGAAACTGAGGCACAGTGTGGAAATATTTGATGTAGGTACTGTTTGATATAGCTACAGTCCTGAATAAGCAGATGTGTCTGTAAATGGAACTCATTGTTCTCTGAGTTCCCATCCCTTTCTCCTGCACAGTCTTAGGGGCCTGCAGCAAATCTGGGACCGATTGGGATCTGAGACCTATTGCAATCTTGTCTGGATTTCTAAGAAACTGCTGAGTCCTGTTACTCGCCCCTGTCCAGCTGTGGGAGAGCAGGCAATAAGGTAGAAGCAATCAGCTGCCCCATACTCTCACCCAACCCCAATCTTCCACTTGAGACTGACCCTGAGCTGACCCCAAGTGACCCCGTCAGACCCTGATTCTCCAAGTCACACCCTCGGGGGGCCCTAGCTAGTCCAGGAATTGCAGACTCGGAGTCACTGCGCTGCTCAAGTTTTTACACTCACTTGCCCTTGCCCCAGGATACAGGCATGGAGAGTGTTCATACATAACTGCTCTGTTAATGTCGGGGTCTGGTCAATGAAACACACTGCTGCAACAGTGGGTACCACTGGAAGGGGAGTGGGCTGTACTGGGGAGCTGTGTTGGCACTAACGGTTGTGCCACCTCAGAGAGACTTAGCAAACAGTTTGAGTAACACTGCCATCAGCTCCAGCCAGCCCTGTCCAATCCCCACTCCCAGCAGCACAGCAAGCCCTTGACTCAATGTGTGTGAGCTCAAGGCATTGAGATTCCACTGGATTCAGAGCAGAGCTCTCTGTCTGTCTCCAACAAACCACGTGACTGACATCCCCTTGAAAAAGGGCAATGCAGGACAGTTAGTGAAACATGGAAACATCAAGAATAGGAGCAGGAACAGGCCATTCAGCCCATCGAGCCTGCTCCATTGTTCGATTCCCTTCCTACATCCAGCACCAACTGGAACATAGTTAAAGTGTGAGCTGATCTCAGGCCCAAATCTCTTCCTCCATCTTTCGAGTACCCACTGCCTATGGCTGCATGTACAGAAACATATTGACAGTCAAATTCTCCATCTTGTTAAACCCCTCCAAGGTTTTGCTCCTCCCTATCCCTGTAACTTACTCCAGCCGCCAAACCCTCCAAGAGATTTGTGCTCCTTCAATTCGGGCCCCTCGCACATCCTCATTTTCACTGCTCCAGTGTTAGTGCTTGTGCCTTCAAATGCCTTGGTCACGGGCTCTGGAATTGCTTCTCTGAAATCTCTCTCCGTCTCTGTCTCTCTCTGTCTGTCTCTTTGTCTGTCTGTCTGTCTCACTCTCTCTCTGTCTCTCTCTCTGTCTCTGTCTCTCTCTCTGTCTGTCTCACTCTCTCTCTGTCTCACTCTCTCTCTGTCTGTCTCACTTGCTCTCCTCTCTCTGTCTCACTCTCTCTCTCTGTCACTCTCTGTCTGACTCTCTCTTTCCTCTCTATCTCTGTCTTACTCTCTCTCTGTCTCTCTCTCTATCTGTCTCACACTCTCTCCTCTCTCTTGATCTTCCTTGAAGTCACTATTGTGATCCCAGCTAATAATACAACTGGAGATATGAAACTATGGGTTGATACATGCTGTTTATATTTTGTTTAGCTCGTCACTGAAACACGGCCAAACGAGTTTGCAGATTTTCTTCAACAACACAACAGACATTTATTATAACAGAGGCATGACCTATCCCGTTCCTAACTCCCCACCTACACTCACCTTTACTGGCCCCATCCCCGCCTCTTCGACCTGTTTGTTTCCTCTCCACCTATCCTCTCCTCTATCCCTCTTCTATCCGCCTCCCACTCTCTCCCTATTTATTTCAAAACCCCCTTCCCCTCCCCCTTTTCTGATGAAGGGTCTAGGCCCGAAACGTCAGCCTCTCTGCTCCTATGATGCTGCTTGGCCTGCTGTGTTCATCCAGCCCTGCACCTTGTTGTCTCGGATTCTCCAGCATCTGCAGTTCCTACTATCTATGATTAAATAATAATGAGTAACATCCCACCACTGGTCCTGGTCCAATTTCTTTTGTTCCAACCCCTGGTCTTGAAGGTGAAATGTACTTCGCTCAGTCTCCTTTTCCCACCCAGTTTTGCTCATTCCACTGGTGATTTGGCTGACCATATGCCCAGGTTACACATGCCATGCCAACCTCAGTCATCTCTCGGACTGCCTCTGGCCAATGCCATGTAGCCCTGTGGGAGGGGGGAAGGAGGAGATGTGAGTTGTTGTGTTTTTGGTGATCTCACTCAGACTAACCCAGTGAGTTGTATCCTTCTGTTCATCAGGAGTTCCACAGCAGGTTGAAGTCCGACATACTGCAGAATTTTGCGGAGCTGATTGAAAATGTTGAGCAGGCGCAGAGAGAGGTGATGGAAGTGATTAGCACAGAACAGAGGAATGGGATCACCCAGGCGAACAGGTTCATGAGCCAAATGGAACACAAGTGCTCCGACCTGAACCGGGAGAAGCAGCAACTCGAAACAATCTCCAGGCTCAGTGACAGCTTCCAACTCATTCAGGTCCTGGCCCCCCTTAACCCCTCATTCTCCACATCATCCCCCTTACAGCTCACCCAATAACCACCAAGCAGTGTGCTGCACACATCGAGCCAGGGTCCCTGGGATTACAGCCTGGAACTACAGGCATTGAGTCACGGTCAATGGGACTGACTCTGGATCAGTGCAGATTGACTCTGGGTCTAATGGCATTGACCTGGAGTCTGTGAGGATCAACTTGGGATTAGGGGATCACTATAGGGTCTATGCGATTGTCTCCAAGTCTATGGGGTTATGCTATAGGCCTCCCAATAGCCAGTGGGAGATAGAGGAACAGATATGTAAGCAGATCATGGAAAGATGTAAAAACAACAGGGTTGCTGTAGTAGGTGATTTTTAATTTCCCCTATGTAGATGAGAGAGAGGCAGAAATGGACACTAGATCATTGGAAAATGAGGCTGGAGAAGTAGTAATGGGGAACAAAGAAATGGTGAAGGAACTGAACAGGTACTTTGCATCAGTTTTCACAGGGGAAGAATCAGGAGCATATGAGAACTTCAAGAGAGTCAGTGGGCTGAGGTTAGTGTAGTGGCCATCACTAAGGAGAAGGTGCAGGGGAAGCTGAAAGGTCTGAAGGTGGGTAAATCACCGGGACTGGATGGACCATACACCAGGATTCTGAAGGAGATAACTGAGGAGATTGTGGAGACATTGGTGGGGATTTTTCAGGAATCACTAGGGGCCATGAGGGTCCCAGAGGACTGGAAAATGGCTAATGTAATACCCCTGTTTAAGAAGGGAGGGAGACAGAAGAAATGAAACTATAAGTCGATTAGTCTGACCTTCATTGTGGTAAGATTTTAGCGTGCATTATTAAGGGTGAGATTGCAGAGTACTCAGCAGTGCATGGTAAAATAGGGCTGAGTCAGCACAGCTTTGTCAAGGGGAGGTCATGCCTGACAAATCTGTTCAAATTCTTTCAGGAGGTAATAAGCAAGTTAGACAGAGTAGAACCAATGACCATGATCTATTTGGATTTCTTTGATGAGGTGCTGCACAGGAGGCTGCAAAACAGGATAAGAGCCCATGGTGTTAGAGACACGATACTGGCATAGACAGAGCATTGGCTGATGGCAGAAGGCAGAGTGGGGATAAAAGGATCTTTTTCAGGATGGCACCGGTGACTAGTGGAGTTCCACAGGGGCCAGTGTTGGGACCACAACTGTTCACATTATGCATTAACAATCTGGACAAAAGAACTGAGGCCATTGTTGCTAAGGTTCCAGATGATACAAAACTAGTTGGAGAGACAGGTAGGGTTGAAGAAACAGGAAAGTTGCAGAAGGACTTAGACAGGCAAGGAGAGTGGGCACTGTAGTGACAGATGGAATACGACATGGGACAGAATTAGTTTGGTGCATCCTGTTGATTTCTTGAAACAATATTTAGATAGTCCAACTAGAGAAGGCCTACATGGGATCTTGTACTGGGGAATGAGCCTGGCCAGATGGTCAAAGTTTCAGTGGGAAGCACTTTGGGAACAGTGACCATAATTTTGTACATTGAAAGATAGTTATGGAGAAAGATATGACTGGTCCTCGGGTGAAAGTGCTACGTTGGGTGAATGCTAATTATAATACTGCTAGGCAGGAACCAGAGATAATCAGAATGGAGGCAGCTATTTGAGGGTAAATCTGCAATGACTTGTGGAAGACAGTCAATCAGTGTTCAGGACCAACAGATTCCTGTGAGAATGAAAGGTAAGGATGGAAGGATTCAGGAACCCTGGATGACATGAAATATTGATAGTTTAATCAAAGAGGAAAAGGAAGTATACGTAAGGTTTACGGAACAGAAAGCAGACAAGGCCCTTGAGGAAATATAAAGGGAGCAGGAAGAACTTGAACAAGGAATTAGGAGGTCTCTAAGGTCTCTAATGTCCTTGGCTAGTAAGAGGACAATCTAGGGGAAGGGTAGGTACACTCAAGGTCAAAGGAGGAAATTTATGCATGGAGCCCCTGAGAAAGTGGGTGGAGTCCTTAATAGGTATTTTGCATCGGTATTCACCATGGAAACAGACATGGTAGATGATAAGATTAAAGAGGGATATGTTGCTATTCTGAGGCATGTCAATATTAAGAAGGAGGAGATATTGAGTGTCTTGAAAAACATTAAAGTAGAAAAGTCCCCAGGTTGTATGGGATCTATCACCGATCATTGCTGGAAGCAACAGAAGAGATTGCTGAGGCCTTGACAGAGCTTTGTGTCCTGTTTAGCCACAGGCATGGTCTCAGAGGACTGGAGAATAGCCAGTGTTGTTCCTTTGTATAAGAAGGGTAACAGGGATAATCCAGGAAATTATAGGCCTGTGAGCATTATGTCAGTAGTAGAGAAATTATTGGAGAAGATTACTGGTGACAAGATTTATTCACATTTGGAGAAGAATGGATTTATTAGGGATATTCAGCATGGCTTTCTTGGGGGGGAGGTTTCATCTCACAAATTTGATTGGGATTTTTGAGGAAGTGACGAAGATGATCGATGAAGGTAAGGCAGTGGATGTTATCTACATGGACTTTACTAAGCATCTGACAAGGTACCTCATGGTAGGCTGGTCCAGACGATTAAGTCACATGGTATCTACATGTTGGTAATTTGGGTACAAAATGGGCTTGGTCATTGAAGGAACAAGATAGCTGTGGAGAGTGTTTATCTGATTGTATGTCTGTGAGTAGTGGTGTTCGACAAGGATCATTGCTAGAACCCCTAATGTTTGTAATATATATAAATGATTTGAATGGAAGTGTAGGTGGCCTGATTAGTAATTTGTAGATTACATGAAAATTGGTGGAGCTATTGCTATTGAAGAAGGTTGTCAAAGGATGCCGCAGGATATAGATCATTCGGAAAGGTGGGCAAAGAAATGGCAGGTGGAGTTTAATCCAGACAAGTGTGAGGTGATGCATTTTGGGAGGTCAAATGCAAGAAGAAGGTATACAGTAAATGGCAGGGCCCTTAGGGGCATGAATATACGAGGGATCTTGGCACTCAAGTCGATAGCTCCCTAAGAGTGGCAACACAAGTGGATAAGGTGGTAAAGCAGGCACATGGTATTGGTCAGGGCATTGAGTATAAATGTTGACAAGTCATGTTGCAGCTGTAGAAGACTTTAGTTAGACCACATTTGGAGTATTGTGTGAAGTTCCGGTGGCCGCATTATAGAAAGGAAGTGGAGGTTTTGGAGAGGGAGCAAAAGAGGTTTACCAGGATGCTACCTGGATTGGATTGTATCCGCTATAACAAGAGGTTGTCCAACCTGGAATTTTTTCACCAGAGCATTGGAGGCTGGGAGGCGACCTGATAGAAGTTTATAAAATCATGAGAGGCATGGACGGGTGGATAGTCAAAGACTTTTTCCGAGGGTGGAAAGGACAAATACTAGGGGCATAAGTTTATGGTGCAAGGGGCAAAGTTTAAAGGAGATATGTGAGGCGCGTATTTTACACAGAGGTTAGTAGTTTAGTATGGCAGCATGGTTAGCATGAACATGGTGAGCCTAAAGGCCCGCTCCTGTGCTATACTGTTTGAGGTCCTATGGCTCTGGGTCTGTGGGGAATTGATACTGGGTGTGTAGGATAGACTCATGTCTGTAAGGATTGACTCTGTCTGCTTGCCTGTCAGACTGTCTGCCTATCAAATTGCCTGACCGTTTGCCTTCTCGTCTGTTTAGGAGTACCACAGCACAAAGATCACAGCAGCTCAGCAGGTGCTCTCTCACACACAGCTGACAGTGGATGTGAAACTGACAGAACTCAGCAGAACAGTCGCAGAACTTTCAAACCTGGTGAAAACCCAACTGGTGAAAAGCACTTCACATGGCACTGGGAATGGACCTATCCCAGGTAAATCCCACTGACCCATCTCAGGTAAATCCCACCGACCCATCCCAGGTAAATCCCACCGACCCATCCCAGGTTAATCCCACCGACCCATCCCAGGTAAATCCCACCGACTGATCCCAGGTTAATCCCACCGACCCATCCCAGGTAAATCCCACCGACCCATCCCAGGTAAATCCCACCTACCCATCCCAGGTAGATCCCACTGACCCATCCCAGGTAAATCCCACTCACCTTCACAGATAATACCCACTGACCCATCCCAAGTAAATCCCGCTGAGCCATTCCAAGTGATTCCCACTGGCCCATCACAGATAAATCCCACTGACCCTTCCCAGATAATCTTCAAACAAATTCATGGTTTGTTTTGGTGAGGATTGGAGAATCACTAATAGAGATTCTTTAAGTCAGCATCTGCCATGGAGTAATGGTGAGCGTGCTGGTTTCTGAACTCTGTGATCCAATTTCACGACTAGGTGGAGACTTCTTTATGCCTCTGGTTACCATAGTGTAATGGTGAGCGTGCTGGTTTCTGAACTCTGTGATCCAATTTCACGACTAGGTGGAGACTTCTTTATGCCTCTGGTTACCCGAGTTCAAATCTAGGTGTAGCCTTCTTCCTGGTGAAGTGAATGGCGAGCCTTGGAAAGTCTCGTTTTTGGGTGGCAGGGTGGCTCAGTGGTTAGCACTGCTGCCTCACAGCTCTAGAGTCCTGGGTTCAATTCCAGCCTCAGGCAACTGTCTGTGTGGAGTTTGCACATTCTCCCCGTGTTTGCGTGGCTTTCCTCCGGGTGCTCCGGTTTCCTCCCACAGTCCAAAGATGTGCAGGTTAGGTGGATTGGCCATGCTAAAATTGCCCATAGTGTTCAGGGATGAGTGGGTGATAGGGGGATTGGTCTAGGTGGGATGCTGTGAGGGTCGGTGTGGACTTGTTGGGCCAAAGGGCCTGTTTCCACACTGTAGGAATTCTAAGTGAAAGAGGGAACTGAATAGCTTGTTAGACTACATTAGGGGGCAGTTACAAGTTGAGGGTGTGAGTCTGGAGTCACGTGTAGGCATAGACCAGTAAGAGCAGTTTTTTTTTGCTGCTGAAGGCCTTCAGTTGGATTTTAGTGTCAACCCAACATGTTCACTCTCACTTCCATGCTGCTTATTTAATGAATAAAAACCGAAAGAACTGCGGATGCTGTAAATCAGGAACAAAAACAAAGTTGCTGGAAAAGCTCAGCGGGTCTGGCAGCATCTGTGAAGGAAAAAACAGAGTTAACGTTTCGGGTCAGAACTCTGAGGAAGGGTCACTGGACCCGAAACGTTAACTCTGTTT